CAATAGGAGGAAGCCTGTTTGCAGAGACAAAGTATGGGCAGTTTTGCAACCGCGTGGTTCTCTCCTCGGCTTACTTCCTTGCATAAGACACTCTTCAATTTTTAGTGTAACAATTTTAGAAAAAAGTATCGTCTTATAGATGGAAAAATATGGTATGTCAATTATATCAGTTTCACAGGAATTTAAGAGCTTCAGGGAAGATTCAGCTTTTAGTGTGCCAAAGCTTGCAGCCTTACCAGAGACACCTGTCCTCCTTTCCACAATACACCAGACTCTACACCAAACAGCTTTTTAAAAGCCAATCTTTTTATGTTGCCCTTCCCCAGTTATTAATTCCTTTAACAATCTGCCTTTTCAGGGGCTTGCTTTTATTTGGGGGGGGGGGTGCATCTTCCAGTCAGTATTGACTCCTGGATAGGTCCCTGCAGTTTTCTTGGCAGCATTTTCAGAAATGGTTTGCCATTGCCTCCTTCCTAGGACCGAGAGAGGGTGACCGGCCCAACATCACTCAGTTGACTTTGTGCCTAAGGCGGGATTAGAACTCATGGTCTCCCAGTTTCTAGCCTGATGCCTTAACCACTACACCAAATTGGCTCAATATGTTTTTTATTATGAATACCATTTTCTGATTATTCACAAATAGTTTGCAATGACAAATATATACAAACACTTTTAATAAATAGCAATACATAAGGCTGTTATTCAAACCCTGCATGTAAACTCTGTGGATATCACAGGAATTTAAGTTTCTCTTAAAATGGAGATAACAATAATGTACTGATAATGTATAATATACTGATCTGAATACACATGTAATAGTGATATATCTATTTCCATATCAATACATAATTGAAAGATTGTCCTGTTTGAGATTATGCATCTCATGACCTAAATAAACCTCCTCTGGATGTGGTAGAATGAATGTCCCTCCAAAATGTGAGATGGTTTACATTAGCTAAAGAAATATATTCCAGCTGAAGCAAGCCTCAAGCTTGTAGGATATCCTATGTAATTTTGTGGTAAGTGCTGAATTAACATTATGTTTACAGAACTTGCCTGCATTTTTGCATTTTAAAAGGCATTAGATAAACATTGAGACATTTTCTATCACTTTTGTTTCCTCACCACTGTGTGCAACTCCTGGGATTCCTGGATGATGGTGCTGGAAAGTCAGTCTTGGCGAAGAATCCTGGGGAGATGTAGTGCTAAACAAAGGCTTTTCAGGTTTCTTCATTGTAGGAGAAGACATATCTGCAATGGCACACAACACAACAGGTACATTAACCCCAACATTACACATCATAATTCTAGATAATTGCTTATGCTCCTTTAGCATAACAGTTCCTGGTTAGTGACTAAAATGCACTGCATTAGAAAACAGAGAAGGGTATGTATTCCTTTAGATCAGCAGTTACAGGTTTTCTTTAATAACCATCAAGCAAATCCTAAGACACAAAGATGTTATCACCATACCTCTTATGGGGTCACCATATAAAAATTATACACCTCATATTTACATGATAAAGTCATAC